ATTAGGCGACACAACCCCTAATGTAGCCAATCCTCCAAGAGCTTACAGAGCTCTTCTTACAGGGGCTCCTGTAGGCTCTTGGAGGATTGGCTACATTAGGGGTGTGTCGCTTAAGATGCAAATGAGTACCTGCTACAAAAAGCCCTGCGGGCCGGGCGGCGGGGCCGGGCGGGCGGGCCCGACAGAGATTAGTTCACCGGGAGAAAATGGGCACTTTGGAAGGTGGACTCTGTGGCGGGATACCCTCCCCTCCCAAAACCCCACCCTCCTCAGGCTCCAGCCCCAAAATCTCCAGGGAGTTTTCAATCCAGAGCTGGCAACCTGGGCTGTGTGGTTGCAGGGAACGTGAGATGGGTCCAGGGAACCCAGACCCCCAACTACTTACAAATCGTGACATATTGTTTGGCTCCCAGGGGCATGAACTTGTAGGTTGGCCTTCAGTGGAAGACTGGTTTTAAAAAGGGGATGGGGGTGGGGGTGAAGAACACGATGGGCCCGTTTGTCCTCCTTTCTGGCACAAGTGAAAACGAACAGGAGCCTTCTGGCTCCTTAAAGCCTAGCAAATTTATCGAACCATGAGCTTTCATGGTTGGAGCCACTTCACTGGAGGCAGAAAGTAAATCCTCACTCAGCATATACAGAGAGGAAGATCTGAATTGTGAGCAGTGGCTTTAGATGGCCATGAATGGTGAGACATATAGTTTGTGCAAAACTCAAAAGCATACAAGAGAAGTAGACTTACGTAGAGAGAATGGTGTACCCAGGGCTATTTTGGGGCAGGAACGCGCAGGAACGCACAGGAACGGAGTTCCGGCTGGCTCCCGAGTTGGCCACGCCCAGCAGGAACTCATTAGCATAATAGGCCACACCCAACAGCAGGAACTCATTAGGATTGGCTACATTAGGGCTGTGTGGCCTAACATGCAAAGGAGTTCCTGCTACAAAAAAAAAAGCCCTGGGTTTTGACAACAAACAAGGTAAACAGAATAAGAAGCAAAAGGTTAATTCTGGTAACATGGGGGTGTGGCCTAATTTGCTAATGAGCTGTGCTGTCAGGGTGTGGCCTAATATGCTAATGAGTTCCTGCTGGGCTTTGTCTACAAAAAAAGCCCTGGGTGTACCATTCACAACAGACCCACAACAGGTGGGTCTGAAGTTGGACAAAGTTTGGGTCCAGTCAGGCACCTTGAAGACCAACGAGGTTTTGCCCTGACCTAGATAGCCCAGGCGAGCCCCATCTCGTCAGATCTCAGAAGCTAAGCAGGGCCGACTCTGGCAAGTACTTGGAAGGGTGACCTCCAGAGAATATCAGAGGCAGGATGCAGAGGCAGGCTAATCTAGCCACCCCTCTGAAAAACATCCAAGCCCCCAGTAGGGGTGTCGGAGTCCCAAGTCGATCACGCCCAACAACAGTCCTTCAGAAGGGTGCAGTTTATTTAGAGAAGTACTTAGGTCATCATATGACACACCTCGTGCCAGGAGTGGGGGGTAAGGCGGGAAGACAGGGTATCATACTGAGTTCATACAAGTCCCCCTGATGGGCGCAGATCGATAAGTGGGGGGAGTGAGCCCGCCCAAAAGAAAACGGCTCGGCTCCTAGCAGGCGGCTGAGTACAGCTCCAAGGCCATGGGGGAGATAACGGGAAGAGTCAGGAGCCATACCAGGAGGAGAAGGAGGGGAAGCGGTGAGATTGTGTGGGGGGGTGCTGGAGGCTTTGGTGAGGAGGAGAGGGGAGCGGGGAGAATGCAACCCAAGCCATGGCAAGGTCATCCAGCCAGGTCCAAGTGGAGGAGGAGTGGGGAATCAAACCTGGTTCTCCCAGATTAGAGTCCGCGCACTTAACCACTACACCAAACATAGGGGTCGCCAGAAGTCAACCATGACTTCCAGGCAAGCACACAAAACACACATAAACGCACACAAATATATATTAAAGAATAGCAACAAAGTTCCATTCAAGGTATAGGCTTTCATTGCACGCACATTGAAATGGAAGTTACTGAAATGGAAGTTACATACATTGAAATGGAAGTTACTGTCCATACATATAGGTAGAGGGTGGGCAGCAAATCAGCATACAGCACAATGAAGGTGTGCTGTACCAGCCAGGACCAAACCAGAACGACAAGTGTAGTTTATATGGTTACCATTTGTTTGGGTTTAATTCTGGGGGGAAACATAGTGAAGAAAATAAATATGTCACAATTGGAGACTGATGGGCAGATGTACCCTTCTTAACTGTGGAATGCTGGGAGTAATTAACTGAGACCCCCTGCCGTTATGCTCCATCTGTCACCTGACTCACCTCTCAAGGTGGAGGCAACAGGACAGCAACCTCTTCTTTGAGGTGTTGCGACTGGCTGAGCAGTGTATCTCCCTTGTCCCCAGACCAGAGAGATACATTCCCATCTACCATTCCAAATTATATTACATTCTACTATTCATTACATCACAATCTACTATTCCAGGTCACTATTCCAAATAAGAAATAAAATAAAGAGGATTCTGGGGGATTGGTGAAAATATAGATGTAAAGACTGAATGACATTAGCATATGCAGTGAGATTAGAAACCAATGTCCCTGTTAAGTCCTGGGGGTTCCATTGTTCTGAGTGTTGCAATAACTTGCAACTAAGCAGTTTCCCTTTCTAGTCTGTTCCTGAAGTTCCTTTGCAATAAAACAGCTGGGGGGGGGGGGCACTGAATGTGCTGGAAGGTTGAAATGTTCTCCTACAGGTTTCTCAGTCTGGTGATTCTTGGCGTCAAATTTGTGTCCATTTAT